GAAGAATAGCGCGATCGGATTCCACGACTTGCGTTCGCGCGAAATCAGGAAACGAGAGGAGGATCGAAAAAGAAAGAGAAAGAGAGAGAGAGAGCGCGTGGGCATCTGGCCCAGGCAAGCCACCTTTACCGAGTTCCATTCGAGAACGTTGTCGGCGATTTGTTTGTTGTTTCAGAGTGCGAGTCGTGCAGCAGAGGTCTCCGCTCGCCGAGCTGCTGGCGGAGGAGTCCGAGGGTGAGACCAGAGACTCCAATTATTTGGTGGAGGAGGATTGTATTTTTGGCTGGCAGGAGAAGGTGTTCGGTCCGTTCGAGATCGACTTCTACGCGGACGAGAAGAATTGCCTGACCGACTGTCAGCGAGAGTATCATCGGCGTATACGCGACGACGAGGAGGAGCCGCCGAGGACCGGCCGATTGTACACCTACACGGAGAACGACTCTTTCTACTTCGATAACGATCTCCTCACGGAGCCCTACAGGCAGGCAGTTGAATGTTCGACTGTTCATTCACCCCCCGGCGGAAAAAAAACAAAAGTCGCTCGCGACAGCTCTCTTCCGATGCACCGAGCGGACTTGCTTATCCCTGACGACACTCCTCCGTCACCGATCATTCCCGATTGTTAACGATTTCGCTCTCGTGCGAGCGTTCGTTTCTCAACTGGTATTTCTTTATTTTGCCTTTTTTTTTTATAACGAGCGAGTCCAGGTTTATTTTCCATCGAGTTCGACATCACAGAGATATGTATCGGCAAACACGAGTTTCGCTTCCGAATTCGAAACCAAACAAGATAGCAAAATTTTGATTAGCAAATTCGACTATATCCGCACTACGTCGAATTGGTACACGCTCAAGGCTGCTGTACATAAAGCAGTTATTTAAGTAAAAAAGCACGTAAGCATTTTGAACGATTAGTTATCTAATAATGATATTGGCACGTTAACAGAACATATATTAATTATTTCAACGTCGAAATGCTTATTTTATGCCATTGTATGTGGATACTTTATGCACAACGGTCTTTATTATGCATTAATCCGATGTAGCGCACGTGATTGAATTTGCTACAAGAGAGATGTCTTACGACTCTTAGTCCATCGTCGAGGTCATTTTAATTAATGACGTCAGAAACGAGAAAATATACGCTCAAAATGCCAGCAAAATACGTCGGAATAAAAGGATGCGTGCTATGAAATAGCATTTGTGATCCGTTGAGCGGATTTATGATTTATGTATAAATACTCCGAGAAAATTCCCCTTTTGCTTCAATAATCAATCAATAGTCGCAAAATTAACGTTACCAATCTTTAACTGCGTGATTTTACCTGGGAATCGAGAATCTGAAGAGTGTCGCGTTAAGTTGGATATATACTGAGGAACGAACAACGAGCGCAAATTTTCGATATTACAATTTGAAAGATGTGTACGCCACAACGAATCTGAACAGAATGTTTTGAGGCTGATTCGCTCATAAGGTTGTTTATCAAAGAAAATTTAGACACGAATATACACATTCATATTACACATTTGCTGTTGGTTCGTTGTTATGTACATACAGAAAGATACCGCATTCAAATGTTATTTATTTTAAATATATCATAAGTTTATATATCCACAAATCTATCATAAATTCATCATAATTACAAGAGTATAATGTTAAGAAGTTTATCATAAACATCGAATTTATTCCAAATATATTCTTCTTAATAAAGTTAAGTACTTCAATCAAAAATATCAAATTAAAACAAATTCACATTCGGTTTGATTTAACTTATTCGAATTAGTCGAATTTGACTTTTCTCCGATGTAATTTATAATATTCTCCAAAAGAGAATAAATTTTTTCCTTAGGATATGTAATAATGATTTTTTTTAAAGCTTTGTGATAAGTATATATTTGAAGACTATTATTATTAATGGAATATTAACAAGAAAATATTCTGTGTTGACGATAACTATTATTTAAAAGAAGGAAAGTAAACTGAGTGATCGCTTTACTCAACAATAGAATGTTATTTTTTTCTGTGTATACTAAGAAAAAGATTTCTTCAAATTTAATAAATTTTATTGCATTCAAATAAATTTCATCATCGGCATGCTCCAAAGAAATTAATTGTTTCAATTAATAAGTACGATTGTTAGACTTTTCAACGGATATATATCTTTATCTTAAATAAAAAATCTTTTTGAAACGAAAGATAATTTTCTTATAAAGAAATTATTTGTTTCATTTTACATATTCTAACCAAATAATATTTTAACATGTTGTTTCTACGAAACAAATTTTAGTCAAATAGAAACACTAAATCTAAAGAAAATCTTTTTCTCTGTGCGTCCACTTTCAAAGTCGCCTCCCCCCCAGATAACATTAAACGTCCTTTTAGACATACGTATTACTTGAACCTCGTTTACAGGTCGTACCTATCGAGAAAGAATCAGACGGCGCTGCCGGTCCTGCGGAATCGCAAGCCCTTCCGGGAGCGGTACAACAAGAGCGTGGTGGACGACAGGTGCACGGACGAGCGAGTCCGATCGAATCATTATCTTTACACGGAATGCACCGCCATGTATGTGATGGCCGATCTCTCTCGGCGCGAGGAGCCCGCGAGCGGTTCGGACCGCGACTCAGAGACGCTGTTGTGCACCGTGACTTACGACAAGGCGCGCAAACTGCTGACGATTAACCCTGATTTCGCCGGCGAGCCCTACGACATTACCAATAGCTACGGCATCAAGTACAATTACTGGATCGAGCACGTCTCCGAGAAGCAGAGCCCGTTGGAGCTGCAGCAGCGACGCGAGGACACGCGGCGCGTGAGTACGTTCACCGGGCGTCCCGAGGGAGCTCTTCGCCGTCCAGCTCGGAAAGCTGGTGTTTTCGTGGAAAACGGCAAGCGGCGATCCCGAGACGTGCGAGACGGGCTCGTTTATTTACGTTACGGCGCGGTTACATTTATATCCGACATTCTCCTCCGCGCTGACCGATCTTCTTCTACGTGTGTGTGTGTGTGTGTGTGATGACGTATATATATATATAGTGTACAGATGTTAATATTGTGTAGATACCAATATTCTCAATAATGTCATATTGAAAGAGTGACGCAACGTGATGCAGTTGTGAGCCGCGGCCGGCACGGCGAAAGCACGTCGTCGAAATTGAAAACTCGTGGCGTAACTCGCACATTCGTCATCGTTACTCTGCAAAAAATCACGAACAAACGCACGCACGCGTGGTGTGTAATTAGGGGAATTCACGACGATGACGACGCGGTTAGGGAGTATTGCGACATGCGCATAGGCAATCGCTGTGAAACCTGTGGGAAACGCGTTCTCCCGCTTATCTCTCGAGATCACGTCGCTGAACAGCGGGAAAACTGGCAATTGGCAGATTATCGTGACGATTGGTTGGTCGAGTCTAATTCGTCGCGTTTATGGAAAAGACGTTTGATTGAGTTTATTTAATTAGACGAGCAAACCAAATATATTTTGCTAAAAAATAAAACAGAATCTCGGGTTATACATGGAGAAAAAATGGTCAATTCAATGATAGATATTCTCATATATAAGCAAGAAGATTGTAATATTCTTAGAAGATTTAAGACTATTTTTTTTTCTGTGTAAGAACCTGTGTAAGACTGTGTAAGACTATTTTTTTTTCTGTGTAAGAACTGTGTATTTAGTTTATGCATATAGAAAAAAAAAGTGCTGGATTCAAGAAAATAATTACTTCAATACTCCTTTTCAGCAAACTTTTACTTGGATCAAGTAAATATTTTTTACTTGAATAATTTACTTGGATCGAGCAAATATTATAACTTGATCCAAGTAAAAATTTGCCAAGGAATGTTAGAGTAATTATTTACTTGAATCCAGCACTTTTTTCTGTGTAGGAACCAGCAATTCTGTTTCCTTCGATCAAAACGCGTTTGGTTGTCCAGATGAATTCAATCAAACTTTTTCCCGTGTTGCACATTATACAGAACATTCGATATAACTCGCTGAATTGTCCGAAATCGGTGCTTTCAGGCAATCCAGTCTCGCCGAAAACGCTCCTCGAGCGTGCAGCGTCCCCCGATAACATCGATCGATTGGGGAAACGCGGCGCAACACGTGGAGGCGGTTCGCTCTGTGTGTCGGCCACATGTGTCGAATTGTGACGGTGATGAAATAATTTGACGAACGCGTTAACGTCATTTCATGAGCGAGCCCGATCGTCGTGTATCTCAATGAAAATCGTCGGCACAGCGCGGCGTAGAGAGTTTGTACTGTTAAGTCCGTATCGGAAACTACCGATCAGGATTGAGATTGAATTAAAATTCGGCCAGAGCAAAATTCACTAAACTCGAGTTTAGCGAACCTTGAACTGTGATCGGCCAAATTTCAATTTCAATCTCAATCCTAGTCTGATGCAGGAAATTTGACCGATTTCAGAGAAAATCCCTTGAATGTTTCACTCGGTCGACAGGCGGGCGTGACGGGATTATTCATTATTTGAGGAAAACCAGGAAAAACAACTGACGCACGTACCCCACGTATGACACCTCCGAGATCTGGCGCATCACTCTCTGCGGATAGAACATGATGAACGCCGTCGTTGTTTCACACCAAAAATTGTCCCTCGATACTCCTCCGCTCTTTTTTTCTCTCTCTCTCTCTCTCTCTCTCGCAGGATTATGGCATCTTCCCCGTCAGTGCCCCGTCGTCTCCTTTGCTCTGTTCTTCCGGTCGTTCGGGAAAGCGCATCCGGAAGTCTCGGGACCCGATAATTTCACCGTCCTCTTCTCGTGCATGATTGTACCGTCGTCGTTAATTAGCGGCCAGAGACGCACGGTAGTGTATATGTACGTAACTAAACGAGACGAAACGACGACCGAATCGCGTCGAGTGTGTATGTCAGACGTGAGTGTCCCCGCGCGGAGCGAATCGGCCACCGCGACTGCCTACGCTCAACTGAATCCTATGGTTCTCCGAATGTCTTCCTGAACGCTCTCCTCCATGAGGTGTGATGTTAGCGCTATCGTCCGCGTGTACGTGCGGGTACACAGTTTACCCACGTGCACAGTGGGGCAGGAGTATCTGCAAACACACGGAGAGCGGCTTTCACACAATTCTACGACCGGCAGAAGCGGCAGTAGGGGTCGTATCAACACACACCACCACCGCCGCCGAGGAACGTAGAGTGAGATTAGCGATTTTTATCTCACGCTCTTTCCTCCCCCCCCCCCCCCCCCCNCTGGTAGACACACACACAGCCACGCGACGTGCGCGTACGGAGGATATGAAAATATGCCCGCTGTCGTGTAATTCGTGTAAGCGGAAATCTCGGTCGCTACATCTGCTGGCTCAGCAAACTTTTATTATCCGACTCGAGTCGCACGAGCAGAAATTGACGCGGTTTAAATTGCGTTCCGCAGTTATTACGATTGAGCGCGATACAGATTTGTATCTTTCCGAAACAACCGATTACACACGCGTATATACAGTGTCCATTGAGTAGACCCAGTTATACTCAAAGAGGCGATTCTTTGGTTTATTTCAAGTGGAAAAGTTCGTATAAACATGTGTCCTAAACGGCTCAGTTTCCGAAATACATAATGTCGAAGTTTGAAGGAAAATGTTAATGTCACATAGGTTTTAGGATTTTTATTGGAACTTGGTGTAAGCTTATATAATATATCAGGGGTGGTATTTCAATAATACAATAGCCAAAAAATAAAAAATTAGAAATGAAACAAATAAATTGCTGAAAATAGCCATTTTCCGTATACCCTTCGATCTTCTTTTCCAAAGATTGACGTATCGTTATATATATAATATTATTAATATCGTTAATATTAACAATTGTTATTAAACATTTGCAGGAGGTGCAACAACAGCTCGTCCATAAAGAGGCGGAAGTATACAAGGAATTACAGTTGGCACCAGCGAATCTGTCTGCGGTATATTTAGGCTTGGACATCGTGTCGGCCCACGGTTTCTCTTACGACGGACTGTTTGTCACCTATTTCGTTGATCTGCCGCAACACTGGAGCACAAAGCAGAAAGAAAGGCTATTCGGAAGAACGCAGAAATGTCTCTTGGACAATAAATCGGCGCACTTCAGTTATTGCACCGATATATTGTTGCATTACCCGTCGAAAGAGATTCAACCGAGTGCGAATATATCGCCGCTTTGGCCTCGTCTACTATTCTCTGTGGCGTCTGTGGATAGTTGGACCAGGTAATTACACGAGAGGCTTACGTTTCTATCTGGCTTGAATATTCTATATTGCGTTCTTTCTAATTGTTTTTTCAAGATATCTACTCAAACTCGAAAAAAATCTTCTCTCAATTCCCTGATTTTTTAGGCAATTTGTTAGAAATTCCAGGTAAAATAAAGGTAAAAAATCCAGGTAAAAAAAAAACTTTTAAATATATCTTGCAAATGAATATATATTTATTGTTTGAAGTTCTTCATATTTTCGAAAAGTTTATAAATCATGAAACAAAATTAAGAATCATTCGAGTTTCAGTGATTAAATTTGAAAAATTTGGAAAGAAACTGTAAGGACTCTAAGAAAAAAAATATTTTATTTTGCATGAAACTTTCAAATTTTATTTTCGAAAGTTAGGGAAAAATGATGTAATGCATAATCGGTACAAAAATTCAACTTTTACCAAACTAGTAAAATAATTAATACGTCTTAAAATTAAACAAAATTACATCTAACACGAAATCATTGTCTTCAATAGTGAATATCGAATTAGTTGTAAAATCAGTGTACTCTAAACGTTAGAGCAGAAATCATAATATAATTAAACATTTAAATTGCATATGTAGATATGAGATAAAAAATATTAAATAGAAACTTAAAAAATCAACTTTAAATATACATGTACACAGAATGTTAATAAGTTTGCATCTGCGATTTGGCGTTACTTTTTATCAGTTTATTAGTTATAAAATTAAAATTAATTTAAAGTTAGGTCGAAAAATTTTGAACTATTGTTTTCTATAATTTTTAAGGAGGAAAATATTATTAAATAAAATTCTGTCAACCAATATTTGTCTATAAACAACGAGATAATATGGCTTTCAAATAAATGTCCATTTGAAATTCCAATAACATTCCCTGATTTTTCCAAGCATAAACAAATTTTCTGAAAATTCCAGCCTTTTTCCAGGTTGGTAGACACCCAGTTTTTGTTGAGATTATTACGCTTGTATCAATTAACGCGTTTCAATTTAATTGATCGCAGATATCGAATAGAGGGATATGCAGCACTACCGTTGCCAATGACGCCTGGCTCGTACGAGTTCACAATCCCTACGTGGCGTGCAAAAGGAAATTTCATCGACGCATTAAGACGATTCTTCATTGGCGGCTCTTACGAACTCGAGGACATAACGTATTGCGGTATTCCAGCGGCGCACGAGGGTAAAATTTTGGATAAGTCAAATCTGAATGTTGTCTCTAGCGGGGATATCAAAGTCAACGTTAATATCGCTCATCAAAACCGTACACTTGCGAAATATCTCGATTATCAAGTGGACGGCTCAAGTAGAATAAGTACTGATGCACTTATGAACAGTGTTGAAAATGTTCTTGAACAATTTAAGGCGGCTAAAGAACGTATGATACAAATAAGAGCGATGAATCCATAACTATAAGTTATTCTAAACAATAATAATTGAGAAAGATAAAGACTGATTGACGAAGTTAATAAGAGTCTGTTGAGACTCAAATGTATATGTATGTAAATGCTGGTATCTTGGTAGTATAGTAACGTCAAACCTTGTTGCTAATTCACGTTTAGTTTGAGATGTATCCGTTTCCATTACAGCTTTCAGTTTATCCACTTTGGTCTCAGTATGGTCACAGCCGTAGTCGTCTAAATATCTCATTTTTAAGATTAAAATCTCTAGAACGGAACTTTTCAAATCATTGATGTGTTGTGCATTCATTAGCCAAATCCTCACCAAACACGTCGTTGATATTTCGAGCTGTCTGCGTTGTATTGGTTCCACGACGGAACTCATATTCGAAAATAACACGAATTTTTTACTTATCCATGGTTTCACGAAAATTGATATGAAAGAGACAATTCGAAGGATAATCACAAAGCAAAACGTGCGTTGAAAGAGTGATAATATATCTTCACAATAAAAAAAAAAAAAGAACTATCAAAGTGAAATGTCATATAAAAGTCACCTTATTCTTTTTTACGTAAACGACCACCTGAGGTCTTTAGATCCTAATTAAAAACCGCTATTATTAACAAAATATAGCATATTATCGATTGTTCTATGATTTATTATTATTTGGGGACATTGTAAATATAAGTTTACTTGCTATTTTTGTAAAAAAATAAGGGAAAACCAAAAAAATACTTAAGAATCGAAATAAGTACATCAAGTGTCTTATTATGACAGTGATCGTAATAAATGAAGATATTAATTTAAAGTGTGCTGTTTTACTGCCTTTTTCGATGGAATAAGATATTAAAAGGTTAGTAAAAAATAATTATTAAAAAAGATTGAAAATATATTAAATAATATTCATTTTATAAGAATATAAATAAGGCTAAATTGTGATCATACAAAGTTACTAGTATTGATTCAGGATTGTAAAAAATGATTTATTTTTATATTTTTTCATTGTATTATATAAATGTATAACACAATAAATATTTTTAAACAAATAATAAAAAATTTTAAAAAGCATAGATATTTCTTTGTTTAATATTAAGTAATAAGCGCGGCGATCATCGCACATTGGTCGGTCGCAGTTTGAGCAAACTTCCTTTGTTTTTTTTGTCCTTGTTGTTGTTGCACAACGCTCAACGTTTCCTTTCTTCCAAATATAAACGATTAAAATATTGGGTTGTTCGGAAAGTAATTTCGTTTTTTGTGGTGAAAATGAAAG